TGCATGATCCAGAAAGTCTTCAAAGTGTAGGTCAATTAGCTAAATGAATATCCCTTTCTAAATACAGTTTATTATTACTAATAAATTAATACTATAATAAAATAGTGTAAAATTTAAGTAGTATAGCCATTACAGTAATGAAACATAAGGGAAAGGTAACCTACTGTTTTTCTGCAAAAATATGTTAGTAGTCAAAAGTACTTTGAATGCAAAACTTTAAACATTATTCAGTGGGGAAAAAAATAATAAAGAGAAGCGGAAATAATTTTAAAGCACAACTGTCAAGCTATTTTCCCCTTACAGTCTGTCAAATTAAGTTTCCCAGTGGGATTGTTTAAACACGGCCCTCTCCTGCATTCAACCCCAGTCAAAACTTCTAGCCTTACGATGGTCCTTTCTCTGATGGATTGATACATTTAAAAGCAATGTTTGCAACATGAACTGTGAAATTCTGAATGTGAATTTAGTTTGTATATTGATCGATTCAGCCAAAATCCTCTCTCGTTCTGCATCTAACCAAAGTTTTTTTTCTTTTCTCTTTAAATCTTCAGAGGCTCATTTCAAAGCTTAGCAGAATATTCATCTTCTGCAGAAATATTCTGCATGTCATACCGGTGCTGAATAAGTCCATAATCAGACTAGTATGTGGTCCCAGCTCTATCGTGGTGTCACTAGATAACCTGCACTTTTGCACGCAGTTCCAGGCCACGTAAGTGCAAGCAGTGAGATATTAAAATCAAATCTGGTTTTTCCATTTCATATTTTTTATCAGAGACTAAAATTGTCAGGTTGAGCCGGTTCAAAAACAAACAAAAAAAACGTTTGGATTTATGGTTGTCAATTGAAAATGGAAATAAGAAATCATACACTGATTCACAAATGATATGCAAATAAAAAAACACAAACGGTACCCCATCACCTCATCAGGTGGATTTATATAGCTGGCAGCATTGGCCAAAACAAATAAGTAGCACAAATATTTGGCTTAAAAGGAGTGAAAAATCTAACAGCTGTATTTTGTGAAAGTGTAGATGTTTAATGTTGAATTCTTCATATTTGAACATTTTCAGTTGAGGGTCTGTTTGTTAGCTTTCCAACTCTGAAAATGTTTTTACATTTTTAAAAATGGCATCTTCACAGAAGCTCATGTCAACTCATCCACACTATCCCTGGAGGGCAACTGTTTCAAAACTAGTCTGCTTTAGATATTTTAATTTCTATAGGAATCAATATGTTAAGTCAGTTATATGTTTTTAATTAAGTTATTGTATCAATAGCAGCGATTACTTTGATTTCAAATAAAATTATTTTGTGTTTTCTCAAGGTGATCATGCTGTAAGAATCTGATCCCAACCCATAAATAGATAACAAGACACAAGCAAATCATAATAGTTCTCTAGGATAAAATTCATAATTCTACTGCCTTTCAATTGTATTATCCAAAGACAACCACAAAAAGCAACAGAGAAAGACAGGTAAAACAACATGACTATTTCTATAAAAACATTGCATTAAAGTAATCTGAGCATATGGACTATGCAACAACAAAATATTCTTTGGAGTTTTGCCACTTGAGGCTAGATTTAAGAAACAGCAACCCTTCAACAAACACATTCATTAACCCCTTTCCTTTCATTTTTTAAATGTGCTTTTTGAAACCACTAAAACAGGGTGAAAGTAATTTGATCTGCCCCCGCTAAAGCACATGCTCTAACAAGAGCTCCTCATCACTGAAGGCTGATTGACCTCTAATATCAAAGGGGGTAAGGGTTAAAAGAAAATGATGAGACTGTGAAAAGAAGGGCGGGAAGGCGGAGGCTGGCATTTGCAAATACAGCTCTTGCTGTATAATGAAGCCATATGGTGGCACAAATCTGTAGTCTCTGAAGTATTTTTACAAGCTTTCCTCCTTATCAGCTACATCTGTAAGTCCCTGAAAACATTTTAGTGACCTTCAACCATAATTATCTCCTGTGTTCCCTCCTGATTGTTATTCCATGGGTGAGTATTTTTTTATTTATTTTTTTTCTTGTCAATGCATTATTATTTTTTCTCTGGCTTTTCAGTGTGAAGTCACTAAAGCATTGTCTGTCACTTTGATAAAGCAAAAGGAAGAAACTTAACAACCTGCCTATGATCTCTGCCTTTGGAGCTCTGGCATGACGTCGCGCTGATGAGAGATAGAACTTAAAGAACAAATGACGCTTTTTCTCTAAAGAAGTGCACTTGAAATCATTTTGACAAATACCAGAGTGCTCACTTATTCGTTTTGTTTCATCTGATAAAAGAAGAAAGCCACACCTTTTGAAGAAATGGCCTGGTTTCAAGTATTTGTTTCTAGTTTTGCAAAATGGAGTTTTCTTCGAAGAAGCATGGCATGGAGATTAAATCAAAGCGAGATGAAAATGTAATTGGGCCCTAGCAAACCAGGGCTGCTGGTCATCCACCTCACATCTCTCGAGCACAAATTGCCCAAGGATAGTTTGTGGCATCCCTGATAATCTTAAAGGACGCCTGCCTTTTTTTCACTCATCCTTATCAGCCTCAAACCAATTACAGTGATTTTAATCATACTGTATTACAAGTGATTAACCCTTTAGTGCATTTAATTAACCTTTGCAGCCACTGATTCTCATTGGGCATAGCTCCATGCTATTTTTTTTTCTGTGACACAGGCTTTAAATAAGCACACTTTAAACTTGTGGGAAATGTAACATCTAAAGTGGGAGGAACTGCATGCTAGTTGCTTAAGGGGACACAAAAATTAGAGGCTGTGTGTTGTCATTGCAACCCCGTTAGAGATGGCTGCTGGAAAGCAAAACCCCTGAGAGCACTTTTTTTTCTGATATATTATTCAATTGCTGGGACCCATGTGACACCGAAATATGAAAAAATTGTAAACATGAAACCCATCTTCAGAAAGTCGAGAAAATAAATACCTTAGAAATAATGAGATATAAACATAGCCTGAATATTTGGAAGAATGTTTACTAATCAAATATTCATGGGTTTTAAATTATCTGCTCAAAAATACTCCACTCTGATCAGCAACACAAGTGAAAATCAATTTAAATCTGTGATGAGTAAAATACATCACGGATAATAATAATTTTGAATTGTTAGACACAGACGGAATATTTCTGCATATTCTCTGGCAGTCATTACAAGTAAGAAGGGAAAATCATTCTGACAAGTTGTCAGTGTGTCATATAAACACATTATGGATTTAATCTTTAGCACCAGGGGCATGTAGTAGGCTTATGCATGATGTGGAGTGGCAGGGCATAGCTTTTGACTGGGGTTTCAAATAAAAGGTGTATGAAGGGAAAATACTATCAGCTCTGTGTGGGTGTCTTCATAAATTAGCCTAAGCACTACACTTTACAGGATCAACAGTCATTTACAACGGCACTATGAAGAATTTTAAAGCTTGCTACATGTCACACATAATATGCTGCGAGGCAAAATAAAGAGGCATAGCACAACCAGAAATGAAGAAAACAATAAGGAAAATGATGGTGTGGACATAGACAAAAGATAGCACCTAATGGGAAAAAAACATCAAACAATATTGATGCAACATCATGAAATTGACCCAGAAATAAATGAGTGGCAGCTTTGATTAATATGATCAAAACTGCAACAGAAACAAAAGCCACTGAAATCAAGTCACAATCAAATTGGTAAAAAGAAAAGCATAAGAAAAAGGATGAAAAAGCCAACTAAGTTGATTGAATATTTTAGACTGAAGTAAAGCATCATTCCAATGGGAATAAATTACGTCTCTGTGCTCAAGCTCGTCAACCCTGTGTAATTAAAATATGCTGCTGATGCCAGGTCAAATACTTAGTGATTAGAGACACAACAATGGCTTTCTTCAATGTCATGTCAAACGCACACTAAAACACGTCAAAGTGGCAAGACAGCTTTGGAAAGATTAGTCATCATCCAAATCGTACAATTTAAAGAATGCAAAGAATGTGTATCTGCATGTGCCATTTATAAAAATAATTGGGGTCATTAAAGTGGAACATTTATGGGCTTAATGCAGAGTTGTCCAGGCAGGCATTTTATGGACTATTGCACCCTTGGTGTTTAAGTATATTGGTCCCCAGGCTCTGCATCACCTTGATCTCCATGACCCCCTCCCCTGTCCCGAGCAGTACTCAGTCTTCCAAACAGTGCTGGGCTGAGTAAGGCCACCTCTCCTCATGTCTGATTTACATTTATTTCCCCTGCCAGTTGTTATTTATTGGGGCACTTCGCATTTGGCACATATCTTTTAGGGAATCATAAGCCCTTTGCTGTACCCTGGTATTCAAATGAGCCTCACTTGCGCAAATCCTCACTGGCGCATTTAAGACACATACTATTTTAAGGACAGACACCAAAAAACAGTGAGGTCATTTGTCAAGAATCACACACACACATACACACACACACGCAGAGAGACACAAGTTCTTTTTTTTTGTTCTGAGCTATTACTTTCACACTTTATGGCTGAATGAATACCTGATAAAATGAGGACCCTTTGACACATTTTACATGCATTGTTAAACATATCAGCCAGATATACACAGCTTAATTCGCCCTTGACCTCAAATGCATCAGAGAGTTCAATAACTGTTTCCTATCCTCCAGGCCTCTAAATCACGCTTTATGCCACTTACTACACACAGTCAAGGTAAAAAATTAAAATAAAAAAAATTGTTATTACGAAAGTCTTTGACAATTGATTTAACCTGCATTTTCTGAGGATGCAAAAACAGTATAAAACAAGGTTTGAGCTATTAGTTTGATAAATTGTGTCTTATTTCCACTTTGTGACCTAAATTTTAGGTGCAAATGGCGTTTATGTAGACATGGTCATGGTTTGTGTGAGAAAACCCCTTGGCTTCATGCTCCCTCCCTCCCCCTTTTACATCAACTACCAAGGAAAAGCATGGGGAGTGTGAGTGGAGACTAGTGTGGGTGGGTTTAAAAAAGAATTCATGAATTACCTGCCGGGTGGCGATTTGCCCTGCAGCCTTGAATCCCCCCTGACAGCCGCACTCTGAGACACTGTATGGGTCGGAGCTAGTCGATGAACACTTGGAGAGTGAGTCGCAGCCCACCACAAACGTATTGTCCAAGGGGAGCTCCTGGATCACGTGATGTTTCTTAGGGGCCACTGGAGTTTCTGGTTTGATTTGAAATGTAGGCTGAGGGGATGCAGATTTATAGTGCTTGGCTAAGTCTGGGCTGTCAGGTTTGAAGGTTGTAGGTGTGGTCGCCCAATTGTACTTTCCCATAGTCTGCTCCTCAAGCTCTACAGGAAGATCCAGGGTGCCATTAACATGCTCATGTGTGGGGTCTTCAGGCTTGGATTCATCTATGGTCACAAAGTTTAGGAGAAGACTCTTAGGAGATCGCTTCTTTCTCTTCTTCTTCTTCTTGATTTGACGGTTCTCTTGGTTGGGTGACACCCACTCCCCACTCTGCTTGCCTTTCTGTACTACTTTATGTCTAGGTGTCTGCCGGCAGCGCACCAAGGCAGTGACAAATATCACCAAAATAACAGTCATGGTTCCTGCTATGATCGCTATAACAACAATTACATATCCATTGGCTTGAGGCGTTATCTCATTGTCCCCTATATTACGATCCAATGGTGTTTCCATACTTTTTCGCAGCTGCTCTTGGATAAAGGTAGAATTTGACACAGTGTCATTGACAAACAAGTGTACAAGTGCAATAGCATGTAATGACTCAGGTTGGCCTAAATCTTTGACCTTGACCACCAGTCTATGCAGTCCCTGATCAGCTAGTACAATTTTCTCTTGGAGTGTTATGTTACCCGTTGTTTTGTCGATGGAAAAGAGACCTCGAGGGGAGACCCTAGATGTGATGATGATGTTGCTGATGATACTGTACTGCAACTCAGCGTTCATACCTGTGTCATTGTCAATGGCAAACACTCTGGTCACCACAGAACCTGGGGAGGTGGTGGTTCGTACCAGGTCATATGAATAATTGGAGGAAGGAATAACAAACACAGGGCGATTGTCATTCACATCGACAACATTAATTGTGACCTTGGCATAGGAGGAACTTGGAGGCTGTCCTCCATCAACTGCTTTGACCATGAAGGTATATGAGCTTTGCTGCTCTCTGTCAAAGGTGATATTTGGTTTGATCACACCAGTTTGAGGGTCAATGATGAAATTGTCTTTGCCGTTCAAAATAGACAAGGTGATAACAGCATTATCTCCAGCATCTGTATCTGTCACTGTGATCAAGCCCACTGTCCCATAAAGCGGCAGGTTCTCAGGCACATAGAAGTTGTACTCAGGGTGAGTGAAAGCTGGGCTGTTGTCATTGAGGTCCTGAACAATTAGCCTAACAGTGACATTACTCTGTAAGGGTGCTGAGCCATTGTCTCTTGCTATGACAGTGAATGAGTACCTCTCTTGCTTCTCTCTGTCCAGTCGTTTCCCAACAGAGAGAATTCCTGATCGCCTGTCTATGTTAAACCCATCCGGTGCATCAGGGCCAAGAGTATAAATAATCTCTGCATTGTGTCCGCTATCTGCATCAGTGGCACTGATTTTTATTAACTGCATTAAGGGGTCATTGTTCTCTGGTATTGACAGCTGAAATTCAGGCTGAGGGAAAACGGGTGCATTGTCATTCTCATCCTTGATTTTAATTAAGACCATAGCGGAAGTGTTCAAAGGAGGCGTTCCTCTGTCCGAGGCCACTATCTTAATAGCATATTCACGAGTGGTTTCATAATCTAGAGGGGCAGCTGTCTCCAGTAAGAACTGATCATTAAAGACAGGCTTAAGCCGGAAAGGAACATCATGGTCAGTGTAGCAAGCCACTTTGCCATACAGATCGGCATCCTTGTCAGTAACAGTAATAAGGGCTATTTTGGTGTTGAGAGGAGCATTCTCAGACAGTAGAACAGTCCCATTTACCAGGTTGATAATGTAGCGAGTGTCTATAGAAGGAACATTGTCATTAACATCTGTGACATTGACAATCACTGTGGCTCTTGATGGGGTTGAGCTGCCATCACTTGCGAGAACAATGAGTTTATGAACAGGAGTAACCTCACGGTCTAGAGGTTGCTTTACAGTAATCAGTCCAGTAGAGCTATTGATGGCAAAATGACGCTTGGTTGAGGAGGAGATCTGGTTGCTGAATGAAAAATGGACCTGTGCATTGGAACCCAGGTCTGCATCTGTGGCGTGAAGCTGAGCCACAGAAGTCCCCATTGGAGCATTTTCTGGAACAGAGACTTCCAGCTCACTGTCCCTGAAGATAGGACGATTGTCGTTGACATCAGAAATGGTAACCTGGAGAATGGCAGTGCTAGATTTAGGGGGGTTGCCACCATCTTCTACCTTGATCTTCATCACAAAGGTATCCTTTTGCTCCCGATCAAGATTCTGCTGAACAATGAGTTGTGGCCACTTGTCACCTTCAGGGGTCTCAATGATGTCTAAGCCAAACTCATTGACACTCTGAAAAGAGAAAACATCTGTGGTTAATACTGATGCTACACATGACACTGTGAGTACATTCTTCAAGGGAACAAATTCAAAACTCTAGTCTAAAAAAATTGCTTGTAACCAGAATACAAGCACATTTTCAGCTTGACCATCAGGTCAGAAACTCAGAATTACAGTCTTTCAATTAAATGAGAAAGTAAAATGCAGATGCTAGGAGGTCACACAAACAACAACACTTATCAATCGTGGAAGCTGTTACATTTAGCAGAATCCTTTAAGGCTGGAAATGATCATTATTTTTGGTTGGACAAAAAATATTGTTTGCCAATATGTGCACACATTTGGTAAATAGCTCTTGTTTTGTTTAGATCATTGCATAGCATTATTTATTTTTGTCGAGACTTAAAGAACTGGGAGATATTTTCTTTGTTGGATTTATGTCGGCTGTTTTTTTTTTTGGAAAAGATTAAATAGTATTTTTCCTTGTGCCTTTCTGCTTGGTTCCTGATACTTTTCAAAAATTGATAAAATACTCTCCACCGGAATCAAAGCAATCAAACCCTTCTTTCAATTGTTCATAAGCAGTATCTCCTGGATTTTTAATGATGCATGTTTGGTGATAGATCTTTGAGGATGGAAGGTCTCCTTGTCATCCCCTTGATCTTTACCTCCCTCCACACATTCTCTAACACATTCAAGTTGGAACTATGGTTAGACCATTCCACTCAGGCTGTTGAATGCAGAAACATGTTGGTAATATTAAAGGTTTACTTTAAAAATAGATCTAGGAGAGGCATCCATGGTTTTGGACTTCACTGTCTATCAAAATGTAAGAAAATCATATTTTTTTCTCTGTTAATAATTAAACTTCTAGTGAAACAGAAATACTTCCTTAAGATTCAAAGACATTACTCCACTCTGCCTGGTTAAGTAGAATCCATATAATTGTGCTAGAATAATGCTCAAAAACTGATGCCATATTGTGATTTATTACTTGCGAAAGATCAAAACGAAGCTAATTAATCTGCTTGAAATGTGACCAATCTTTGAAATGAATCAAGTATGTTCATCCTCTCTATATAACTACAACTCGAATGGATCCATTTACTTCTTTAGCCTTCTCATTTTTTTGCCTTCCCCAAAATGAGATTTCACTTTATCCTCGTATAATGTGTCATGTTAGAATGGAGCAGGCAACCTTGCACCATTTTCAGCTTCATTATCAGAAGGAAAAAGATTGAGGGAAAAGAGACACACCAATAAACTTATATTTGGGTACAATGCAAGATGGGATCACCTTAAATTAAAAAGAGCAGAATGGAAAAATCCTACATATTAGAGAGGCTTTTTGCTCCAGAGGAGCTAAATCTACGCAAAGGTACAGCTGGAAGAAAATGAAAACAAATGCATGAGTAATCACATGAGAAACCAGATGAACTGGCAGTACTTATAAAGAGTAAATGCCTTCCTAATGTTTAAAGTAAAATGTGTATGGTATAGACCCATAAATCAGAGGGAGGTGGAAAGGAATAAAGCAGGTAAAAGACAGAAAGAAGGGATACTAAAAGAGGAGAAAAGGAGAGCAGGGGGAGGAAATAAGAAGATCAAGCCTATGAATGAGCTGCATGCACATTATGAAACAAAGAAGCCCTTTGAAGCTCTCTCAGTCAGAAGCAGTTTCATGGTAAAACAAGAAAAAGCATCCTCTTTAAAGAGATAAGCTTCATGCTGCACATAATGTTGGAAGAGATTACTCTGTCTAGGCATAGCTATCAAATGAGATTAAGATATGTACATTCTCGTTATTCAAGGGGGGACCATTTTAACCAAATTGCAAGCACAAGAGTGTGCAGTATATTTCAAAATGTGGAGCTGTCCTTCTGCCAACACAGCGTTGTAGCCGACGCTAGAACGTGCAGCTGCAGCATGTAAATTATTGTATACTCTCAGAAATTGCATGCAGAGGAAATGTTGTCAACACATTAGTGATTGACAGAACTACTTAAAAAAGCCAATGCAGCAGCACGGATCTCCCAGGCCTTACTTAGGGATCCTTCTGGGCAAAATCTTGTAAAAATAAGTGGACATGGAACGTAAAACATAGAGAAACTGTCACATGGTTAAACTCTACAGAATATTTATACATGCTGAAAAATTATTTCTCAGGTAATCTATAGAGGCGAGGAAACATTCTGGGAGCTGTAAAGATATCATCCTCTCCATCCATACGGAGCTCTTCCATCCTCAGTTGTTTGACTAGTTCATTGATTCTGCACGGTCGCTCAGTATCTGTGCAGTGATATTTGGAAAAGCCTGATAATAGTAGGATGTTGAGTTAGCATGTGTCAAAGGGAATGTTGCACAGTGATTTATGAGCTCGCAGTTCCACTGTGCTTTTGTCTTGGATTCAAACAATTTTAAAACTGACAAGACAGCCCTCACTGCATTTCAATAAGTTGAAGAGAGCTTTCCCTGCGACTGAGCATTCTTCTGAATGCAAAATTAGTCTGGTGGATTGCGATAAGATCTGGGGCAGGCTAAGAAAAGGCCAAATACTACCATGAATCACTTGCAGGAAACCTTAAGGCTGAGGAAGAGGATAAAGCTCTGTAAAAGGCAAAGTGTGCATGCCTCTCTGAACTTGCTTGATTATTGTAATGTAAAATTATTGGTCCAGAGGTTTGTGCGAAATCTGAATTTGGGGTTGACACAGGGTAAATGCAAATGAGAACTGGCAAATTTTTATGACAGTGATTGAGCGACACTCTCAGAAGATGAGTTGTCAGCGTCATCTTCAGGAGAACGTCAGGATGTAAAGAATCCTTTACATCATCTTTATTGATGACGTAAAGGATGACTGTGACCATAATTTTTATGAACAGTGCCTAAGATTATCATTCATTTCATCTTTCACTCCATTTTTAAAATAAACTCAGATTAAACTTTCAATATGTCACTTAATGTGATGCTGAGTGGTGAAAAAATAATTTAGAAGTTTTTATCACAATGTTTCTCTTTGCATTAGTTAATTTGTTAAACCTTTTCACAGCCAAAACATGATGAACAATCTCTTATTTACAATGTTAACCCTTCCTGATGGACCCATTTAAACCATTCTCTTATTCTCCCCATGTCTGATCTCCGTCTATGTTTCCTGATGGCCAGAAACAAATCTATATATAACACAATAAATGCCCCAAATATTGATCATTTTATATCAACTCCAAACTAGAAGGGAAAAAAAAATTGAGAATAAAACTTAAAGCAAAGAACTTGAAGACTGAAATGGGTGAACCTAAATTACTCAATATTATTATTTTAGGCTTTCGACTTCTTTATCTCATGGCGCATCCTGCACTTAGAAATAGTATCAGATTCTCTAATTTAGTGTTTAATGGAAATATATTCAATTGAACATATAAAATGTGATCTTTATTTCAATATTCCAGCTGTGCTTACCATGCTCATATAAAATAATAAACACAATTCAAAATGCCAACTCCATAATGAATATCTTTGTTGTAAAATAGAAAAAACCCTGTTTTATAATGACAATTAGTAACTTGAATTCTCTTCTGCTTTTTGAGATCTTTCAGCCGATGTTGTCTTGATTCTACTGTAACTAGGCCTGAGTGAGGCTTCTTTAACTCACTCAGTTGTCCAAAAAATGTGGTTAATTGCAGATAATTTATAATTTGCTAACAGGGACAATTAACTGCTGTAATTATATAATTACATTATTAACAACTGCTGTCTCTTTTACATGCATACACGTACAGTGTGCCCTTAACTTCTTCTATTGATATGTATAACTTTGCAAAAACTCTGAGGAGTGCATCTCTAAGAGGAATATCTTACACATGTCCTGTTATAGGAAATCCCACTGTAATTCCACATGTGTTTGCTTTCTTTGTCTTGAACAATTATTTTGGGTTAATTTTCTGTGATTCATGACATTAACAAATTCTTCACACTTGGGATAATTTGTCTGCAAGCATAATCTGCAATAATTTCTCAGTGGTACCTCCAGAAGAAAAGACACAGCAGTGGCCAGACCAGGCTAGTAAAAACTTTAGGGTGGCACAATATATATTACAAAATTAAATAATTCCTTAAAGCACTTTGAATTGCCGTGTTGGTAAAAAAGTGTTATATAAATAAAACTTCTTCTTTTACTTCTTAAACTTTAAAAAAAGGAAAGATGTTCAAAGGTGTACAAAGAGACCGCCTGGTTTCTTTTATTTGTTCTGTATGTTGAAAACCTTGTAAGTCACAAAACACTCAGTACAGCTGACTCTGTCATATGATGGTTGCAATTTTAGAAATGTGCCCTGAACAACACAGAAAAACTGGACAAACTATCACTCTTAGGGAGCTTTTGAGACAAATCTCCCAGGACCAAACAGAGATAGACCACGGGTGGCTTAGCAGCCAAAAGCTATTCTAGGAAATGCTTGCACAGTCCTTCCCCACTAAACCTCCAGCTTTCTACTGCACTTCTGAAATGAACGATACCAAAGGCATGAAAATGCCTCAGGCTCCTTTAATGCTTTAACTCATATAGAACCTGGAGCACAGGGAAATTAATCTCAGGTCCAATGAGAATATAATGAGAAGAATTGAATCAGGGACCAAAAGCCACAGATGCTCTGAAATGTATGACTACATGCAGGGGTTTATGGCGCTATATATTGTGAAAAGGGCAAAGAAAATGATTGCAGATGATCACTGTAATGAGCTGAACATTTGGTTGGTGATTTTCCAGACATGAACAATTCAGGGCACTGCATCGAAGAGGCCCTGGCAGGGAAGAGACGCTTTAAAAGTGCCTATTGGTAAGCGAGACAGATACAGACAGCAAATGTTCTGTTCATTCTATCACAGTATTGAGGGAATTGTTAAATCTCCACCCTTCTATGTTCTCACTTATCTTACATATTTGGAATGCAAAAGTTTTTCCTCCATTGTACTGATTGTTAGTTTTGTTCTTTATTTGTAACACGTGAAATATACAGCTGTAAATTTAATGGAGTTGAAGATTTTACAATATTGTCCTTAAATCTGAAATTACTATGTGATGGTGCATGCTTTTATTTGCAGAGATTTAAGACAGACTGTAACTTGTGTAACATGTAACTTGTGGCTGGAAATCGGACATGCGGGACTCTATATGCTGCGTCTGCACTCTTCAATGCATATTCTCAGATATATCTGCACATAGAGAAAAGTGGCCCATTTTTTACAGCCTCCTGCCAAAATGATATAAAGCACATAGAAAGTTTTATGGCTAGTGTTAAATATTTTAGGTTTTGCAACACATTTCTCTTTATGAAAAAGTAGGTTACATTTTCAACGCAGGGTGTAAATTAATAGCATTTTTTTCTTCTTTTTTTTTTTCTCACAGAGAACAATGCTGCACAACCAAAGCAGCAGGAGTATAGAGTTAGTTAATCCAGAACCTGATTCATATCAAGTGAAATCATCTCAAATTGAAAAGTAAAACATTACAAGCATCCACCAAATAAAAATGATTAATTAGTCAGACATGTGGGATTCTGCATGCAGTCTATGAATAATCAATACCATGTACAATAAACATTTTCAATTACTAATGAGTGTCAGGTGATGGATTTTTAAATAAAATATATTTTTCTTACACTTACACTTTTGTAATTGTAGTAATCTCAGACATAGATATCATGAAAAGGTCCATGAGGAATTTACATGTAAACTGTTGTATAGATCATCATATATGATGATGTCATCGACACCATCTAAAAGCATTTAAAATAATAACCGCTATGAGCTAAGGAATAACTTTGAACTCGATATAATCAACAGAAAACCTCATTTCTACCAGCAATTTCCATGAGTCATTGACTGTTTTTTTTTTTAATCAATTTGAATAGCTTTGAACTAAATTGCATAAATAATAGCATTTTTCACCATATTTTTGGTAAAATAGAATTCAAAGTAACATTATATGACAGTTCATCTTCAGTTCATTTTCCCACAATAATATTTTATTTTTATAACCACTTTATTTACTCCAGGACTTACACAAGAACCAATTTGAACAAAGTATCAAAACTGATGTATAACTTTTGTATTAAAAATAAGTTATACTCTATAAGTGTTAGTAACATGAGTTAGACAATTCCATATATAAATTAAATTGAAGAGCCAATCAAATAGAATCTTAATCAAGTGTCACTAAGTTATTAAAGAAACCTCTATTTAAGAAACAAGATTTATTTTAAAGTTACCCCCACTTATAGAGAACAGATAGAAAAATGCAGCAATTTCTTTAGAAATTATTTTCTGTGGTTTGCAAAACTGCATTGTTGTTGAGAACATTTTAAATGTGTTTTTCTGTTTCCAACAGTTTCCATAAACTCTGCTGGTTTAGCTAAAGAAGCTCTGGAATCTGTGAAACACAAGATGGTATTTATGGTAATTTTGGTTTGTTTGTATTGGAATAAGACTAGTTAATACTGGAAAAATTAAATTTATCTTAGATATTCTAGAGGAAAAAAAGCTAAGCAACTGTATCAATAACACTCCAATAATGAACATAATGGACTTCAAGGTGGTCAATGTATTTGCTTTTTTGTGCGACGACTAGAAAGTCATTGGTTTAAATCTTGGCTTGGACTATTCTGTGTGCACTTTGCATGTTTTTTCCTCTCCATATGTGAATTTTCTCCAGGTGGGTTTTCAGTTTTCTCTCACAGTCCAAAAACATACGTGTTAGGTTAACTGGTGACTATAAATTGCCTTTAGGTGTGACCGACTGAATCCATGGTTCAGTGTCTCTGTTTTGGCCCTGTGACGAACTAGAGATCTGTCCAAGCTGCCTGCAGCATGTTGTTCGCTGGGATATTCTCCAGAACCCACTGCGACCCTAAACAGGATTAGGTGAGTAAAGAAAATGTTTGAAAGGACAAATGAATGACTGAGATAAGTGATTTAAATTTAGGAATATTTATGCAGGAACGTGAAGTGAGCAAAGATCAAGCTACTCTTCACAAATTGCTAAAAATGTCCTCAAGAAGGTGTGTGCGATGGATTCAGTAATTTGAGTTGGAACTAAACAGGCATATGGTGAGACATACTGAAAAAGTCTTGACTGACCAGCGCTTGTAATTAATAACAGCACAGCTAACCATCATAAATAATATTTTGACCTCCAGAAACATGTTTATATTCAGTTTTTACACTCCTCTAATTAAACTTCCCTAATTACCGCTTCCACATTTCAGTTTCTTTCATTTAAAAAAAAAGTTCTACTTAGTTCTGGTATAAACCAGATAAACTTTTTATTCATTTATTTTTTTTACATCCGACTTATGTGAGTTAAAATAAGAATAAATCCTCACCTTGACCAGCTCATAGTGTTGGATTCCATTAATCCCCACATCAGGGTCAAATGCTGATGGCACTGGGTATCGGGTGTTGATGGCTGTGTTTTCAGGGATGGAGATGTTTATTACAGTGGACTGGAAGAGGGGTGCATTGTCATTCACATCCTCAATCAGGAACCGGATCTTAACCAATCGAAAGATCTCATCAGGCAGCACTGCCACCTCGATCTCATAGTAGCAGCGTTTCTCCGTGAAGATCCCCGAGCACAGCTTCTCCCGGTCAATCCTGTGATTGGTGGTGAAAATCTCCCCTGTGTTGGCCTCGACCCTCACCAAAGGCACGTCACCCGTCTTATACACAGGCTTGAACTGCAGCGGAGAGGACAGCCTGATGTTGGGGTCCAGGTTAAGGTCGAGGTCCTTGCGCAGATTCCCAATGCGAACGTTCTCCTGCTGCTCCTCCTTCACGATATAGTCCCTCTCCTGGGCCTTGCATAATAAGACCAAACAGGTGAGCAAGGCCACCAGAACATGCACCTGACTTGCCAAGTTCATGCTCGAAATTAGGTGTGAGCTTCACTTCTACAGCTGCGACTCTTTCTGAAGACACACAAGAAAGGGGAAAAGGAAGAGAAAAAAGGAAGGAAAGAAAATTAAACAGTGTTCTTGTTCAGCTGTAATTAGTGATATTTTCCCATATGGAGAGGCTTCATCTTGACCTCTTTATTCTGACTAGTTATAAGCCAACATCCTTCCCACGTCTTTGAGAGCAAATTAATGGCAGTTTTACACAATTAACCTTTGATGACTTCCGCTGAGCAAGGACACACGTAAAGGTCAGCAGTTCATGGATGCCATAAATCCATTGCATCATTACAATAAATGATTAATACAAAAGTATGAAACTTGTTGAGTCTGTGGTCGCTTTATGCCTGCATTAATGCATCACCCTGCTTGATAAAAGTAATCTGCAAAAAAAGATGAGATCTGAATGAGTGAAAATGGTGCGGCAGTATCCTCATGAAGTGCAACCTCACAACCAGATCCCAGCTAATTTGGAGGAAGCAGAACTAAGCCTTAAGCGTCAGTGCTTTCATGCAAGAACACACATGAACACTTGCACTTGTACAGCCTGACAGAAGCTATTAATGGAAAACCTCATTTGCTCTGAATGTAAACAATGGAGCACTCACATATTTCATGTGCCCCCATGTGTGTAAGCGAGCACGGGATGATAAGAGTTCTGTTTAGACGACTAACGACAGCGGAAGGAGACGACAGAGTGGAACTCTTTGTTAAAGCCACCATCAATCAACTTCAGAACATACTTTTTCCCTGACGTTAAATCTAAACAATCCCCCGCTGACTGTTTGTATGAAATGACAAACCCTTGTTGTGTTTCACAAAAATCTTCACTGTTTGATATGTGTAAATGGATGCCAAGGGGCAAGAACCCAAGTTGCCAAATCCCAACTAGGTCATTGGAATGTGACAAAGGAGTCGTGCTCCGCAAAGCCTCACTTACCACTGCATGCTAGAATAAAATATTGACCACTTTCTCCCACCCAATTAGTAGGTTACTGGGGAGTTACTTTGTGTGGTTTGCTAGCTGACATTATGACTTATCCATTCATTGAACCCATTATCAAGCATGTTTAACAAATTTATTCTAGAATTTCCATCACAGTAACACAGGTCGATTCAGATTTGCACCACAAGTTTCCATAAACCTTTGGCAGCTGATCTGAAAAGTATCAAGGACCTATGTGCTGTATGTAAAAAGAGAACAGATTTATACAGAGCTTGCACAAGAAAGGACAACAATTGGACATTCTCACATGTTGTCATGCAACAGCCACAACGGTTAGAGCATTTCATGGGGATTTTACATTTGTATTCCTAACTAAAAGTCAGTCCAACAAACAGTTGGAAAAAGCGACTATATTAACAAATTACTCTCAAGTCCACCTGTGCATAATTTAATTTTAGTAAACAAACAGCTGGTCTGTGAAGTTTTCAGAAATGTGTAGAGAATATTAGAAGAAAACTATAAAGAAATATAAAAAGGAATGGAGCTGCACAATATATGAAATCACTGCGGTAATCACTCAATCGATGTGTGCAATATTGCAATTCCAAGGGACTGGTTTAATATAGTGTTTGGCTGAATATTGCATTTTATGTATCATGTATGTAAATTGTGCATGCAAACGAACACTGGGCCTGATTTTCACTGCGTTTGGTGTCCACACTGGATGGAGAGTTAATCTCAAAATTATTCATAAACCTAGCAGACTTGGGTTTAAAACAACATTAAGGTTAGGTTTCCTATCTAGCCGTTGGAATTCAATCTGTTTCTAGAAAACTCTGTCAGCTAGATATCTGACTTGAATCTGATAGAGAAAGTGTAAAGGAAGCTTTTGATTAGGATGTTGGTAAAATGTATTCCACTTGAACCTGATCATCAATAATGAATGATCAAAAATACCTGTGAAATTATGCCATTTTATTTAAAATAATAACTCCTGAATGTTGTCTTAGTATCTTAGTAGTTTTTTCTCATTTCCAATAAAAAGGAAACTTCTTAGTTGAAAGAATATAACTCAAACATATTACTTTCCTAAAGCTGCCAGGAGTGTGGACAATTTTGCGTGGCTTTCTATTCTTCCTAGAAAATAATGATAAAGCTTGCACAGTGTTGTGAAGACGCTGTGACGAATGAGAAGAAAAAATGGGTCAGGAAAGTATGTGTTCAGTTTCTGATGCGGTCATGTTCTGCAACGGTATTGTAATTACATGATTTCCTGATATTGTGTGGTCCAAGAAACACAACAGATCAGGGATAAAAGTTGTGGAAAACATTACAGTCGGGTTGAGCTATTTGGGTACACAACACCCAGAGTTTACAGAGTTCAGTCTGTAATCACAAAGGTCTGAACTCCGATCAGACTATTCAGTTGATTGGAATGGCCGATCAAGTAAATAGTGACATGAGTAAGATCAGTATTAATCAAAGAAGCAGACAGAAAGCTTATAGCAACTCTGATGGATCTGCAGAAATTCACAACCCAGATGGGGTGAATTGGAGGAAATTAGCCCAGCTTTGTCCTATTTAGAGGACAAAGATTAGACATATTCTCCATAAATTTCGTCTTTGAAAAATAGTTTAAAAAAATGCCAAAAGGCTTTTCTGCAATTTGCCACAATGCACGTAAGGGACACTACAAGGTTACTATAAACGGTGTTTTGTTTAGACGAGGCCGAAATCAAACTTTCTGACTTGTAGCCAAACACTGTATGGCAGAACACCCTAAACATGTTTTACTTCCATGTGTCGTTTTCCACAGGACGTGAAGATGACTGATATTGTTTGCAGGGAAATACTGAAGGGAACTTGTTAGAGGCGTCAAGCTCCTCAGACTGCAGAGAAGGATTACCTTACAGCATGACTACAACCGTAAACATATCCAGATCTACTACATAGATTTTTTAAAACCATGTTCACATGCTATAATCTAGATCTAATTTTGATAAATGTTAGCAAGTATGCTATCAGAGGGCCTCCATCAAATCAAATTTTGATTGAGAATGAGGTATTTTAAAAAGAGGAATGGGCAAAAATAATTATTTCTAAGAAATATAACCCAAAACACGTGCTACGCTTTTTTGATTTTTATGAGTGAAAACATTTTAAAAAACATATTTTTATGGAGCTTTTTTTTCTTCGACTTTACATGTCGGTCTATCACATAAAATCACCCAAAATACACTGAAGTATGTGGCTTCAAATCTGAAATATTCCAATGAATATTTAAAAATCTGCAAGAAACTGTACCTGTTTTATTACACCATGGAGGACCCAACAGTGCACAGGTACAGCATATTTCCTCTTCATATTAATACTGGCTGCACGTCTGTAGTTCTGTATATGTGAGAACTAATTTCATCATCTATTTCACACTGTGTGTTTAAGTCTAACCCTGCTGGGTGTTTTTTAATCACATATGACTTTTCCTATTGGTATAATGTTGTTGTATATTCTTGAAATCAGGCATGCATTTCCGCCAACGAATTGCCTACATTCTGTGATGGTCTGCATACAAATTATGACTGTAGAAGCTAAACAGAGTGTCTCCATGTGATTACTGTGGAACTTTTTTTTTTGTCTTATGAAATTCCCATCTACCTACATGAGTCAAATCCGCAAACCAATGACTACCTCAAAACGAAAAGCATTCAAAAAGCACTACAGGGGTCTTCTAAATTGCCAAATCAAAAATGTTCATAGCTCACTGAAGAGCTCGTCCAGCTGACAAAGAGGGATTGACTTAAAAAGAATATTAGTAACTAAGCCAATTTTAAATATGCAGCCATTGTGAGGCGATTCATGAAACATGTAAAGACAGACTTCACATGCCTCAAAAAGCAGTCGCATGAGACTCATTACAGTACAGTTGGACAAAAAGAAAAAAGAATGGCCCGACAGTGATCTGCGTTGTTTTTCATTCATTCTACACATGTGGCCTGGGCAGAGTTGTTCTGTCAAAAATACTGACAGAATTATATCCTATTAGTAACTAGTGTGTCACTTTTACTATTAGTACAAGTGACACATTTTACTCATAAGTGCGGACCTTTATGGAAAGTGAGGAGCAATTGCTTCACTGCGATGATCACCACATGGTCCGGGGCTCAGCTCGCACCACGTATAATGAAGTTTAAATTACATCCCTAAATGGGATGTGATTCGCTCAAGAGAAAAAAGAAGAAAAAGATCAAAGGATGATCTAGATTTCCTCTTCCTTGTAAGTGATAATAATGTGCTGCTGGATGAAAGGTTGTAGTGCGTATTTTCACACTCAGAACATGCTGGAGTACGAATGTAGTGACAAAAATGACACCTTTGCACTTCATTGTAATTTTAAAGAGGTAAATTTTTCTACTTCATGGAACATGAGAGCTCAGTCCGCTTCCAAGTTTGCACTGAAATGTGAAACTGTGCTCTTGAGCGCATCATGGTCGAAACTTATTTGCTACTCGCATTTCATTAACTTAATTCAAGTTTCCTTCTTGGTGCCATGAATTCCCAACATTTGCACTTCTTTTCACTTGTCACAATTCTTTACAAACCTGTCCATGAGGCATAAGCCAGGTGAGAGAAGGAATAACGCTGCAGGGAAAAAAGGAAGTGGGGAGATTCGAGGTGTCAGTCAGAGTGTCTCCATTGCTTACATTTCACTAGTCTCCTGAAATTCTATTTTGAGCCCCCAGACAGCAGGTTGAATCCAGTAGGCAAACTCAAACTTCCCTCTTGGGAGAAACAGTGAAGAAGGGGCTGACCAGACCAAGATCCTCTTTACACGACAGTATGATGGGCAGGTCTTCTTGGTGTTTGCGTCCACGCAGGGTGGCAGTGAGAGGTGAGATATGCTCCTACTGTCACTCCCTGCCTTCACCCCGAAGATAGGCATATTGGACACTCTCAGTGTGGTTGCCCTGAGACTAAAACTCATGGTGTATTGAGTCAGGTTTTGAGTTTCTTTTATTTTTTTATTCTTTTATTCTTTTATTTATTAATTGTTGCAGTTGCATCTATTAAT